ACTAACCTCCTGTTCTCCTGTACGCTCGCCACGCGGCGGGTGGACGGCGCTGACTGCAGACGGCCGAGCCCCTCCCGCTCCTGCTTCTCTTTTCTAATGTGAACAAGGCTTTCTGTGTAGCCGGCCTGTTGGCCTCTCCTCGGGCTAATTAGCCCTCCAATGCCGGCATTCATGGCCGGGCGGGGAGCCCGCAGACGGGGGAGGCTGAGGCCCCCCTCCTGGCAGGGCCCACCCGCTGGGTGACTGACAGGCTGACTGCCGTGGTCACAGATGTCATGCAGCACGGCGGTCCGGCAATCAGGTGAGATTCAGCCGCAAGCTGCTGCTCACAGAGAGGCGGCGCCATCAGACCCCACATTAAACTTTATGAGCTCCACCACAGCCAGTGTGAAGAAAGGTCAGAGTTCAGCAGCGTGAGCTGTGAGGTCATTGATCCAAAGTTAGTGAACAATCATCAAAACTATCTACCACCACCAGCACGACCTCCCACTGTGCGCTGCCTGCACGCTGTCCCACTCCCAGCAAACAGTGAGGAACGTGTCATGAAGTCCACTTTTACTTTAATGTTGTGACATGTTCTGTGTCCAACACGAGACACGGATGCCACAGCGAGCAGTGAGGCCTCTCAGGACGACCTTTGACCTCTTCCAACCTGATTTTTTTATGCTTGAAATGTAATTCCACAACACTAATGTAACTACACTATTGTACTTCATCACACTGTGTAACATGACCTGAATGGATTTATTACACATATAGCAGATACTAACACACTGCAATGTAATTAAAATAATTATACTTGAAGATAATTTTTTCAGTATGTTAGTAATTATTAAACTTTATACTTAAAAGTATTTATAACTGTAACTATGCTATATTTAAAAAATACCTATTTATTACATTTTTAATTAAACTACATTTGATCATATTACATTATAATACGTGTTGTTTATAGTGTTAATTGCACCGGTGTACGTCAGTCACGATGTAACCACACAGCAACATTTATGTTTACACTTTGTTACAATGTAAAGGTGCAAAGTTTAAAGGTACAAGTGAATGAATAACTACACTGTAATTAAACTGTTATTAATTAATGTATTTAGACTGTAAACAATTGCAGAATCCTTTTCTTCGTCTTCTAGCTGCTTCCTTTAGGGGGCGCCACACTGGACCATCTGCTCCACCTCCTCCTGTCCCAGCAGCCCTCTGCACGTCCTTCACTACATCCATGAACCTCTGAGGTTTTCCACAAAAGTAAATCTTTAAATGTGTGAACTGTCTCGCCACAGAGCGCCGCCGAGGTGACGTCATGAGCTCAATCAGCTGATCAGAAGAAAACTGCTGGGGGATTCCCATGATGCACTGGGTGCTTCTTCTTCACTTCCTATGTGTTAATAGACCTCTCTGCACTGAATCATACCTGCTTATCCTGTCTTCCTTCTCTCACCCCAACCAATCGCAGATGGCCCCGCCCCTCTCTGAGCCTGGTTCTGCTGGAGGTTTCTTCCTGTTAAAAGGGAGTTTTTCCTTCCCACTGTCGCCAAAGTGCTGCTCATAGGGGGTCATATGATTGTTGTATGTAGTATTGTAGGGTCGACCTTACGACATAAAGCACTTCGAGGCGACTGCTGTGATTTGGTTTATAAATAATTTGAATTTCTTCTTCTTATGTTTGAAGTCGGAGCGTCACAGAGCCAAGGTCTCATCGACTTTAATGTTTTGGGTCATGCCTGACGACTGCAGAGCATTTCTCTGGACCCTCATCATCATCACCACAGGTGTACACGTACTGGGAGGTGTACTGGGGGATGTGGTTACATTAATGGTGAGGAGTGAAGCTGTGGTTTGCGCGCAGCCTCAGCATGCAGCGGGTTAATGCGGCGCTGTCATGAGGGGAAGGCAGCACTCCAGCGCTCCGCAGCCTGTTTGTTTAAGGATCAGCAGTAATAAGACGTCAGGCTGAATTTATGGAGCTACGATTTTGCGGTAGGTGATTCATGGAGGATTTGGAGCGGAGCAGCAGCTGATATGATTAGTCCCGCGGGAGCACGGACGCTCAATACAGCACTGTGTGAGTGTTTGTGTACAAAGACGCCGAGCGGGCCACAGAAAAATGTCAGAGTAAACAGGAGGCGTGCACAGAGCCCGCCTGTGTGCACGCCTCAGCCCACATCACCCCATCGCAGAGTCGAGGATGCCGAACGCGCTGCTGCTGACTGAACGTGTCACACAAATAAAAGTCCTGCAAACACTTTAATGAAGTTACTGTTCCCTAAAAGTTCCCTACAGTGGGGCAAAAGCACCAACCCTCTGCTGATTGGCTTGGTTTAAACTTGGCGGTTGCTCACTCAAAACAATCAGATAAATGAATCCATACACAGGAAATCTCTCCGCGAATGAGGGTCGTCCATCACTGTTTTACCTTGGATCAGCTGACCACAGCCTGCTGCGTGCAGCGACCAGCAGATGCTGCTCCAATCCGCCGCTCTTTACCCCAAAACATCCACCAGTTCAATCATTTGTGTCATTTATTCAGTTTCACAGGTAACAAATAATGAGTTTTTAAAAAGTAACTCACAGCTGAAGGATCACCAAACTCCACCGAGCTCGCCCGACATCATCACGATTGTTCAGTGACAGTAAACGGGGCTGTCTGCTGTGACATCATCCACACTGTTTAACATAACCAAGAAGAAAAACCGAGGCACAGCGAGTACCTTCAACCTGTGCTCCCTCTAACGCCCAGCAGGGGGCGACTCCTCTGAAGTCTGAGAGGAAACGAGCCAGCTGAACTGTTTCCTGATGATGTTCATGTTAGAGTCATGAAGGAGCAGGAAGCAGGGGGAGGAGTTTAGAGCAGGCAGGTGTTCATTAACTGGTCTGAGGGGCGGGGACCTGGAATGAGAGTCGACGAATTAGGTGTCGCTAAAACTCAGGATTTAGATGGCTCGTCTGGGAAATCTTCCTCCTGGGGCTCAGGTACGATGGGGGGTCTGAGTACCTGCCCTGCGTACTCAGCAGGGTGAATCATCGCTTCCTGCAGCAGCTGCAGTCACATTAAACAGGCCCAGCGGATGAGGAGGGCGCCCCCTGCTGGTGCTCAGGAGGAGAGGCCTGTTACTACTGATGGTTAAAACAGAACGTGACATGAAGCTCACACAGAGGCAGGAAACACGGATGTATGGAAGCTCATCGCAGCCCGTGATGAGTTTGTGTTACATGAGAATTCAGTTATTTAAATTTTGAGTCAAATTATTCTGTTTTAATGTTAATAATTATACATTTTTATCAAAACTGGGACTAAAACAAAACCAACTGAAATTAATTTTTCAATGTTTTTATAAATTAAGAATTTCAACTTGATTTTTAAATAACCATTTTGACTTTTTTAGTTTGTGCTTTCTAAAATTTTGCCTTTTAGTCTTTTTTTACCTGAAACTCTGATTTAATGTCAGAATCTTTGATTTTCTCTAGAAAATGTTCTAAGTTTTAAAGTAACGCGGTGTTCCTGTAAAAGCCGCTGAGCCGGAACAAACAGACTTCGGTGTGACATCACAGCGTCGCGCTGTCGGGGTCACGATTCCCAGAAAGCTGCCGTTTAACGGCTGAACGCTGGAGCGGGATGTGTTTATGGTGCAGGTGGAGGTGGGGAGGCGTCCCCGCCCCGCGCGCAAACAAAGGCGCCGTTTCCCCGGGTTTATGACGGGAGCGCTGCTGAGTCACCGGGATGTTTCTGTGCCGTCAGCCGGACGCTGACGCAGACACGACGGAGCGGACGGAGGAGGAACCGCCAGCTGCTCCGCTCACAGCGAGACATCGCTCCGTCAGTCAGAGTTATCACTAATCAGGCTGCTGATTGGACAAAAACACGAAACAGTTTGTTGGCTGAGAGAGAAAAAGAGAGAGCGAGCGGAGACGAATGCAGGACAGCGTTTCAGCGACGGAGTAACAAACCTCGTCAGCTGAAGCTCAAACACAAGGACAGCTTTATGTTTCTGCCTTTAAGGCTGTTTAGGCCACACTGAGGTGACGAAACCGACCTAACATCAGAATTAGTCCTGAGATTAAAGAAAAGCTCAAAATGATCTATCAATGGATCCATCCCCAGCGCGGCTCCCAGAGCGAGTCTGGACGCTCACGCTGATGATGGTGACGATGATGGAGGCGGATCCTTTTCCTCTTGTTTCCTGATGTGTGTGTTTCATGATTTCAGCTCATGATGTTTCTCCTGCAGTTCCTCTAACGCCCACCAGAGGCTCCAGAGTGCGAAGCATCGCTGCTATGTCCAGGAAATAGACTGGTCCTGTGTTTCACGTTTTCTCTCCTCGTCTTTCTTTTGTCTTCGCATCATAAACTCATCCTGACTGAACGATCCTGACGTCAGTATCGATCGCACCTCTGCTCGGGCGGATCGGCATGTCCTCCGTCATCGATGCAACAATGACCCACTCCTCTAAAGCCCGCCCAGTCTTTTACAAAGCAACCAATCCATCTTCCTCTTTCCTGTGACATCACAGCAGCGGTGGGAAAATCCGCTCCCTCCCACCGTCTGACTAATTAGAGCTGCTGGAGGTGACCAAAACAGACGCCATAGCCACGCTCGTGACCTCTGACCTACCGCCCACTGTGTCCGAGGTGGACACAGTGGGCGGGGACAGCGAAGCGTCGCGGTTTTTCTCACTGCTGGCAAAGGTTTCCCTGTTGAAGCTGCGTCAAACGTGAGGCACGCTGACTCACCGCGGCACGAGGCTGGTCGAGGCGGCGCCGCTGAGAGTCTGACACACAACAAAAACACACAAACGCTCCGAGCACAGCGGCGACCACGAGAGCAGCTACAAAGATAAAAGCTGTTCATCGGGAAACAGTCAGCTGCGTTTCCCACAAACAGCACCTGGGAGAAGGTGTGAAAGCGCCTCCTGTCCTGTTCTGATGATGGAAGCTGGGGTCAGAGGTCAGCTTTAGTAAACGTAATCAGATAAGAGGAACTCCAGACTTACGTGGATGCTGCGGAGTTTCTTCCGGCCTCTCTCCAGCCGGCTCAGCAGCCTCAGGTGTCGCTGCTCGCCGCCCACCGGCTGCAGCAGACGGTCGTCCACCGAAATCGTCTTTCTCAGCAGCGTTCGGTCTGTGGCCCACGGCAGGGAAACTCGGGCCGCCTCCCCCAGGGGAAGACTCCTCGCACCTGCTCCTCCTCCTCCACTCCTCCTCGACCCCGGGGACGGATCAGGTGACCAGAAGTCCCGCTGAACAGAGCCTGCAGAGAAACCAGAGCCCTGCTGCGTCAGGGGGGCGGCGTCGTGTTCCCACTCACCCACAGTGTGTGTGTGTGTGTGTGTGTGTGAGAGTGGGTCAGGTGTAAGCTGACCACCTGAGCTGCTGCATTAAAACTACATGAGGAGGCCGAGGGCGTCGGCAGCTTGTGGCTCACATTCAAATCTCCACGTCAACCTTTTTAACCAGAGACAAAACGGCGCTCACTGAGCACGTGCAGATCCACAGCTGCGTGTCCACACAGCTGCACACACACGTCGTTATGAGAACGTGGATAATTTCATCAGCAGCCGTTCACACACTCAAACTTTATAATCAACATCTGGCTGAACATCAGCACGAGAGAAAAGAGGAGGAGGTGGGTGACAAGGCGGCTTGCAGCACAGACCAAAGCTGACACCGCTACGTGCCCACTTTCATTTTCTCAGATGTAAACTCTCCGTGGAGCTTTGTTACATCACTTCCTGTGAAACGTTACAGCTAACTAAGTGAAACGTGAAACATGACTGGTATTATCCAGTTACTTTTTACCTGAAGTTGATTTCTTTGAATAAATAAATCAGACTTTATGTATTTCAGCTGCAGTTTACTCTGAGTTATTGCTTTGCGTTTCCTGGTGCTCAAAAACACGACCGCAGACGGAGGGGCGCGTGTTTGAGGACATCGTGCTCCAGCCTGTTTGCTTCCACAGGTGCGTGCGATGAAACGTGAGCCTCGCCGTGGGCCGTGTTCCTGAGGGTCAGGTTAACGCTGGAGGTAAGGCACCAAACCAGGCAGCACGATAAATGTTTGATGAGGAGGAAATCCATTCAGCTTGCCTGCGAGCGCTCACAGACGAACACCGAGTGCAGCCAATCGATTTCATTCACCAGGAGAGGTTTGAATCCGCCTGGTTCATGAACGGGAGGAAGGTTTGAAGGCTTATTCTGCGTCCTCAGCTCTGTGTCATCGCCATGCCACCACGCCAAGACGCCGTCCTGACCACAAACTCACTGTGGGCGCAGGACATCAGACGAACAACAACAACGAAGCGAACCGGCCCTGCGAGCGCCACACAGAAAGTCCCACAAACCATCAAATAGTGAAGGCAACACGCGCTGGTCACAGTGATGGCGAGTGGCCACCAAAGGCCATCCCTCTCGCCGTGCACCGCCTCACAGGGTGCTCGCTGCTGCTCCGTGTGAGGGCGGTCACCTGCACAGAGCGGTCACCTGCTCCTTCATCATGACTGTGTGACTGTAGAACAGCTTCACCATCTTCCACCATCCAGGAGGTAAACTCTCCTTATAAGGAAGAATGTGGGCGTGGAAGCACGCAGGTGTGTGGATGATCCTGAAGACAGGAAACATGAAAGCACAGCGCTCACGACACACTTTGAATCATTTATGAATAAAGTCTGTGTGAAGCTCAGCTGATCAGCACAGGTGCCCTTCCTCACTCAGCTGGACTCACAGCTCCCTCTGCTGGACACACAGCACACCTACACCCAGACACAGACTGCAGGAAGTCCAAAAAACCCCTGCAAGTTACAACTACGAATTTTGACCCTATTTTTCTTCCTTTCATCTGATTGGTGAATGTCATGTCAATCACAAATGAAACAATCCAATCAGAGAACAGATGGGTTTGGCTGTCGGAGGGCCACTTTTTTGAACTGCAGGTCTTTGAAGGGAATAAATGCCCTTTTACATGCCAACCCAGCGTTTTCCTTCATCACCACGAAGGAAAACAGTCTGTGGTCGTCCGAGTTTGGTGATTTTTGTGTCACAGGTCTACGTGTTTAATACAGGGACTTCCACAGCCTTTTCACCAGCGCTGCGGACGCGGGGGGGGCAGTGTTTTGGAAATGACAGTCTTCATTACAAAGCTTTCTTCTGGAGTTTTGATCTCCTCCATACCTGCTTCATACCCTGGTGGATGGGGCTGTGGCCCCCACACTCCCTAGCAGATCGTTACATGGAGAAACCTTTGGAATACAAGCATGCTGATCCACACAGGTATGCACACAGGTGTACACACGGGTATTCACAGACGCGGACTACAGCTTTCTTGGCTGCTGCCTCAAAGCACATTGTGCGCTGTCTATCTTGCGTGCTGCACAATATCGTTTATTATTTAGTATCTACTGATATCTACTGCTAGCTAGTTTATTGTGATGGTGCCGTTTTTTTATTATGTTGCTCTTTGTTGTTTGCTTTCTCTTCTGTTTTTTTCTCCATACAGGTGACCCAGGTGTTTGTTTGTTGTTGTTTTTCTTTCTTCCCCCCCTTCTCACCGTCTCTTCTCCCCTTTGGTTTTCTCTCTCTCCCTCTCTTTCTTTCATTCTTTCTCCCTGTCCTATCCCCCAGTCATGTCTGTCCCGTTTGTAGCAACTGAAAATAAAATAAATTCATAATTATAATAAAGGTCAATCAAATGGACCAATATGGCAAGGCCATGATGATCCACTTGGTAAAATAAATCCACTTGGCATCTTTCTTGGCCTTAAGACAACAATTCTGATGCTAAAGATCCAAACGGGACACAAAAGAAGAAAAAAGAAAGAAGAAAAAAACAAAGCTTTCTTCGTTATGAGCATACATGTTTTTATTGAACATTTGAAGAACTAGCAAAAAAACAAACTCTTGTAGTTCACATAAAGTCAGAGATAGAAACGACAAGGAGCAGGTGCATCTACTACAGGTAGAGCTGCTGCAAAAACCCACAGAGCCCAGCAGCCTGCAACACATTCTGGATCCTTTGCTTTTAGTTAGCAGTTAGCATTAGCAGCACATCCTGCGTCCGATGTGAAAGGACCTTTATGCTGCGCACTGTGACTCACAGCAATGGTCCCGGGTCAGCCCTGACTTTGTGTTAAACTAATCCTAAAGTAATAATGTTATTTCTAACCACTGATATACCACAACTTTATCCTTTCAACAGCTACTGAAAGTTAGGGGACCTAGCTGCTATCGGATATTTATATAGCGATTACCCTTCAAGGACCTGCAGTTCAAAAAAAGGGCTCCTCCGACAACCAAACCCATCTGTTCTCTGATTGGATTGTTTAATTTGTGATTGACATGACATTCACCAATCAGCTTAAAGGAAGAAAAATAGGGTCAAAATTCGTAGTTGTAACTTGCAGGGGTTTTTTGGGCTAAGTCCACACACAAATCTTTTTTACACATACAAATCTGTTTTACAAGTACAAAATATTTATGACCACATTTTGAGCCCATAAAAGTGAGACACTCACTGCAACTTCCTGTTGAAGTTTGCTTCCCAGAGTCAGTAACACGAGCCGCTCCTGCTTGTGTCATCTTTTAATGTTTACAGCGGCCACGAGCTGCTGTCGCTCTTTCTGTGCGGGTCTTAATAAAGATTGATTTTGACCATGAGGAGACAATCTGTGTTTTCACTTCCTCCTATGTGTCTCAGGTGTGCTGAAGGACGGCAAAGATCTGCAACATCCTCAGCTTCCTGTTTCAGGATGGAGGCTCTGAGGATCCTGTTCTCTCATTTCTGCTTCAAATCAAAGATTTTTTGCTGGAAAACTTTTGTCTCAAACGTTTGTTGGTGTTGCATTTTTTCTCTGAACATCTTATTTTGAAGGTTCCTTCACTGAGGTCACCTGGGAGTTTCAGGGTTTACCTGATTTTAAGAAGCAGCTGGTCTGCTCACTGAGCCTCTGGGGGGCGCTGTAAACAGGATATCAGGATAAAGGATAACCAGCTCAGGACTTCCTGTTTGTGAAGCAGGTCGGTGTAAAAAAGCCAGTAACCTTTGCCCTTTATTTATTTATTATTTATTAACCTTTATTTTACCAGGAAAGGTCCCATTGAGATTAAAAACCTCTTTTTCAAGGGAGTCCTGGCCAAGAGGCGACAACATGTTAAAATTACAAAGTTACATACATAAAAGATGAACACCTAAGAACAGGAGATGGGGCGGAGTCCTAAAGCACAGCTGTGGTGTCACTGATGGTAAAACTGGTTCAGAGATTTAGCCACGCCCCTTCGTGGACCGCTGTGAAACTCTAACGAACCACCTCCACCTCAGGCTTTATCTCTGCATCAGCTCATTAACTCCACCCAGAACCAGCAGCAGCTACACCACCTCGGACACCATGTTTATCTCACACTGAAGTTTTTATCCAAACGAGGCGCCGCAGCCTGGGTGGGCGTGGAATAACTGAGTGCGAGGAATCAGCAGGACAGATCAGAAAAGACGGAAAACCTGCGACGTGAAGCCGAGAAGCAGCTTAACCCTGCAGTCTGAGGAAAGCGCGCCAGAGATCAAACACCTGATGGATGCTGTGCCGTAATCTGCTCAACAGGAAGCTCGTTATCATTCTCCAGAAGGGTGGAGCTAAAGAGAGCAGAGCAACACACAGGAAGTGGAGCCCGGTAAACAAAACCGCCGCTCGGAGCCATTAGAGACATTCCTGACTCGACGGCACGCCCACAGCTCCCCTCCAACCCCACGTCCAGTCTGCCGGCAGCTACAACTTCCACCCACGACAGACCTGTCTCTGTGGGTGTGGGAGAAACAAGACACAGACTCCTGATGTGGCTGCTCGACGATGACCACAGGGCAGAGGGGCTCAGCCTCCGTCAGCCTCCGTCAGCGCCAACACAGACGTCTCACTGCTGATTTCACCCATAAACAACTTCCTGTTTGACTCACTGTTTACATACTTGGCTCATTTTCTTCTTCGTGTACTTTTTTAGTCTCGATTTTGTATTAAAGTCGAGTTTTTCCCCTCGATGTTTATTAACACGTCTGCACTTCCTCATTTTCTTATTACTTCTCACTTCCTGTTTTATTTTGGTAGTCATTTGTGTCGTGATGTGTTTACTTCCCCCGTCTCGTCCTCACTGGCTGGTCTCACCTGTTTGTTGTTACCCAGGTGTTTCAGCCCTGTTGAGCTGCCTGCAATTAGCTACTTTATATTTTGGCCAATTAAAAGCTTCTGGGGTTGGCGATGTCATAAAGCACGTCTACACAGGAAGTGACGGACAGCCATGCCGCGACCAGAGACCCACTCCTTCTTTCAGCCTCCTCCTATACCAGTATCCTCCTCTGAGCTCTTCCTCTCCTCCTCCTGCCTGGTGGCTCCACCTTCATCCTCCACCCCCTCCTTCTGTGCACATGAGCTGCCCCTCTGATGGACTCGTTTCTGATCTCGTCCCAAACGCTACCTGATCAATCTCTTCTTAGCTTTAAATGTTAAAGCATACTGCTGATTAGAACGTTACCTAGGCAACGATGCTTCAGTTTAATGCCCTCTTAGAAAGTCAGACGAGTCAGATCTGACCTTTGACCTAATCTCACTGTCTGTGTCCATGTAGACGTTCAGAGGAGCATGTTTACTCCAGGCAGGAATGAGTTTCTCACACACACACACACACACTGGCTGTTGTTACCTGAAGAGGTCCAGTGGAGTCCTCCAGGACTGGCAGCGAGACGCCGCCGCTTCCTGATGCTGACGCCACTGTGGGAGGCGGAGTCTCCTGCGTGAGTGCCATAGCTGGACCGTGAAGCGGCAGCAGCGGGAGGAGGTGCAGGGGTGGAGGAGAGGATGGGGAGGAGGGGTGTGGACAGACAGGTCGCCTCCTTCGTCAGAGTGGGCGTGAGGAAGGCGGAGTCTCTTTCTGACGACCTGCAGGGATCCGAGGAGAGAAAAGTCAGCACAAAATAAACACGACACGGAGAACTCCTCCTCTAGCTGTTGAAGCAACTGGAAACACTTTATTCAGGAATACTGTGACGAAATATCCTGTTTTCATCAACACTTTGGGAATAAAGTATCCACACAGCATCCCTGCCACACCAACGCTGCAAATCGTGTAAAAACCTGGAAGAAGTTTAATGTATTTCCCATTAGACGAACACAGGAACATGCCGGTGTTAGTCAGAGCACCGCACTGAGCTCTGGTCACATCAGAAATCCAGCTTCCCTGCAGGGATCAGGGAGCAGTGTGAGCAGACTGCGAGAGCTTCAAACAGCAATTGTTTGAGCGCTGAACGCGACCCTGAGACGTGCGGGACGGACAGGTAACCACCACAAACCAGCTGGTACCTGTCCTCGGAGACAGCAGCTGCACCGTGATGCTCGGATCAGATGCCGTCCCTTCTTCTTCCTCCGCAGGAAAAGATCTAGCAGCCGAGCCCAGCTCAGCATCCGAGGACACGCGCTTCAGCAGATCGCTGCAGAGCACTGCGCCCTTCACCGGACGGCCACAGCCGGAAACAGCGCTGAAGGAAAAGCTCCTGTCAGGTGTTCACTGCCCAGCAGGGGTGTTACCTTACCTGTGTGTGTGCGCGCAGGGGGACAAAGGCTGGGTGAGGAGAACGGAGAGTCGAGCGTTTCTGAGCCTGCTCGGCATCAGCGTGGGTCCAGATCTGTACAGAGCGCGCTCAGACGCACACCTGAGTTCTGCACACGTGAAACAGCTGAGCAAACAGAGCATGAGTCAGTGAAAGGTGATGTCTGTAGATGTTCTCTGTTCTCCAGCCAGCAGTACAACAACCACATCACTGTCACGCTACCAGCAACAGCAGTCGTTAACGTCCTGTCCACGGACACACCATAAGGAGGAGCTCTTCCTGTCATCAGGCTTGGAGGGAATGAGACATGGACTCATCCACAGGGGCTTTGTCTACACCGAGCTGCTCTCTAGCTCACAGTCACAGTCTGAGGAACGAGACAGGGATCGAACCTGCAGCCATCCCGTCCACAGACGCCTGCTTAGAATCAGTCTTCTAAACATGTTTTGGACCATTTAGAAACCGTGCACGAGATTCAGGAAACACATGTCACTGTGCAGGAAGTGGGAAACTGTGATGGGGAGCAGCTGTGTTCTTTGAGGACGGTGAAATCTGTCAGAGAGCCCTGACAGAAACTGGAGTCTGTGGATCTGACACTGCACTGACTGTTTCCTGCAAAGAAACCAACGAAGCTCAGACAGCAGGACCTGGCTGGAAACGGATCTGTGAGCGTGACAGGGAGGACCTTCCACTCGGCAACCTGCTCCTATAGTTTGTCTGAAGAGCGTCCAGCTGCTGCAAACACTCATAATGACCCCACTTCCACACATTAGCTGTACATTTCCTCTCTATAAACAGCACTGTTTCCCCTCGGGCTTCCTGCAAGCTTATCTTTGCCTACAGAACCGCCATCTCCACGGTGCCAGGCGAATGCTTCATGAGCTCCAATGTTTCTGCAGGACGAGCGGCAGGATCCGCCTGTGCCCTGACAAAGACGTCTGACAGACCCGCCCGAGGCTCTCTAAAGTTAATCCTGACACTTTGAACACACGACAATAAACTTCTGTCTTTTGTTTGGACCCAGCAGCTGCTTCAAAACTCCAAAGATCAGCTCAAACACGCAGCATGATCCTGTTTATAGACGGACAGTGAGAAGGTTGAATGACAGAACATTTTCCCTCAAAGGATCTCTTTAAAGTTTCATTCAAAGCACCAAAGGGCCTGATTGGTTCCTCTGTGCCACAGCGCTCCACCGTTATCCAAAAAACCCTGAAATCAGCAAACTTCATGGAAACGGCCTCGAAAAAAACCCAATGAAAAGCATAAACAGGTGAGCTGGGGTTACCTGTCGATTTCTCCCGGCTCGCTGCAGGTGGAGCGGCGGGAGTTTGAAGCCAGCGACGAAGAGGAGGAAGCCGGGAGCGAGTTGGCGGAGTGGAGGGACGCACGTGAGGAGTACGAGTTGGAGGAAGAGCCCGAGGAGGTGTGGGTGGAGTCCAGAGGCCTGGAAAGCAGCAGTGAGGACGGCATGCACAGCCATGTCTCCAGGTCGGAGAACTTGGAGTAGCTCAGCATCTCCAGGACACTGTGGGAGGAAGGAGGTGGAGTTACAAAGGAATCGACACCACAGCAAAGGATAAACAGGTTAATGAAAACCAATCAGCCCCTGAGAATTTGGCTCACCTTTCCTCTCCCACTCCTGGGATGTCATCTTTCTCATCAGCGGTTTGAAAGATGCAGGAAGTCCGGGAGTCACGTGATGACAGCAAAACACAGGAGTTATCAGAATCCACGGACATCTTCGGCCATATCTGCGGGACATCAAAGAGGGGGAGTTAAAACAACAACAACCTTCACACAGGTGTGCAGCAGCTCTCTGTGTACCTGGTGTTTCCCACTAAGACTTCTGTATGCAGCTTCCAAGCCTTAGTTTCTGCAGGTTAGCCCGTTTGTGTGCGTTAGTCCTGCCTGACATCATTACCTACCAGCCTGTTAGCCAGGTAGTGGTTTTTGTGACTGCATGTAGGCCTGCACTCTCTACAAGGTCACGCTGTACGAAAGTCTCACCTGGTTAAAGAAATGTTAACAGACATTTGTTTAACTTACTGTCCCTGTTAACAATCCTACAAATTCACTCTGCTAATAAAGAAATGTTACTTAAACGGAAGCTTGTAGCATTGGCTTGTTAGGTGGTCATGAGATCGAAAATGTGACGTCAAACCCGCAAAGGATTGTGGGTACGAGTGGTAAGCGGTACTAGCGCACGCAGGCTTTCACGTGAAAACAGTCACACAGCGATAAAAAGAAACAAAAAATGGCAAGAAGCCGTTGTGTTATTAGCTGCAACAGCCGGTCGCATGACAGCCACGGGAAGCCGACGGTAAAGAGATCGTTGTTATCGGAAGAAAAATCGTTCAAACCGAGTTTCCGAAGTAACAAAGAGGCGACGGACGGCCTGGATTGCAGCCGTTCGAAGAGCAAATATAACGTCCCAGAACGCTGCAGCTCACAGGTCAGTCTGCTCCAAGCATTCCCACAGAGGTCAGTCTGCTGTTGTAGTTATTACGTCATTTATCATAATTGGTGATGTAGGTTACAAATAAGTCTTAATTTGAATTGAATTCGTTGCTTTGCTGCTTTGTTCACTGTGGCTTTGCGGGCTAATGTTTGTTGTTCTTTGTAGGAAAAGCAGCCTACAAAATGCTGGGATGCGATCCAGACTGGGCCCCTCTATCAGCCTGGGTTTCAAGCTGCTACCACAGCCAGATCTGATTGGTGAAGAGAGAGAGCGAGATCAAAACAGCCACGTCTGCATATATGTGCCCAAGTGTTGTATGAAGCAAGTGATACTGTCTCAGTTTGTTGTTTGATGTTTTGTTTTTGCATTGTTGATTTGTTTTTCAGCGAAGCAGCTAATAAAGCTGATGGATTTCTACAATGTTGCCTCTTTGCTGTGAGATTCGGTAACAGAATGAAACAATGATGCCAGTAATAAATAAAGACAATGAATTGAATGAATTACCAAACACTTATTTTATTTCTATTGGATCTGAAAATGTTGTGTAACACTACAACCTGAAACGACACATAGATGCGTTGGCCTGTAACAGCAGCTGTGAGATGGAGTCGTCCAAACCACCAAAGTAAACTGGAGCTGGGCTTGTTGCAGGATCTGATGTTACCAAACATGCTGTGAGTGTGTGCGCTCTCACTTAGGACCATATAATAATAAACGTGATGAAAGTTGTGCAGCACGCTGACGTCCTTACTCCACTCTGTGCTCGTGTGGGTCTGACCCTTTCACTCCTTTGATTTCTTCCTCGTACTTTCTTTGACTCTTCGTCACGTCTGTCTTCGTGCGGAGCTGCCGAGTTCTCCGTCGTTTTGTACAGAACTGTTTTTGGGGCAAATAAAATGCAAGTGGGGATTAAACCGCAGAGTTAATGGTTACCGGTGCTGGAAATGCTGGCGCTTGATGCAGTGTTTTGATTTTGTTGCCACTCGTACCCACAATGCAACGCGCGAAAGTCACGTGGTCTGTCGATCTCATAACACTACTTTGGTAATTGTGTTAGCTGATGAACTACTGTTAAGAAACTCGTCTTCATTAATTAGTTATTGCAGAATTACAATATCCAGAATGTGGAGTTCTAAGTTGCATTAGCAGGTTTCATCTTATAAATTAGCTGTTTAATTAGTAATGCTGCTTGTTACTTTGGTTGACGGTATCTTACGGGTCAAACCAGTTAGTTGGTTAGCTGGTAAGTGGTGGTAACAGTCACACTGCATGGCAGTCAGATGATATTAGCTAACATTAGAATAGAATAATCCTTTAATTGTCCCACAAGGGGACAATTTGGTTCAGCTTGTAATGCTTTGTTCATGCTGTTAGCTAGCATAGTGGAAAAACTAGTTAATGGAGAGCCAGCCATGTTGTCATGGCAACCAATGGTACCACTGTATGTGTAAAGCAGGCTAATTTAAAGTCTAATTTCTAAACAGGCTAATTTAAAGTCTGTTTAGAAAGAAGAAACGTTTCCGGTGAATTTTCATCTAATCTGAAGACTTTTAGTCACGTTTACTCTCACGTTTGGTCTCAGCCTACGCTTACAGGACTACAACTTGTCAGCTTGTAGTCCTGCTTTGCTAATCTTGGTTGCTGTTAACGTTGCCAGGGAAACCTGAGGGCTCAACCATTACTGCGACCCCTCGCTGCCTTTTTTAGTAATTACTTGAATTTGAGGAGTTATCCGAAGTTTCCCGGTAACTGTCTGTGAACGTGCGCTCGCGTGCGTCAAACACGGCGCAGCTGCGCGACCACACGTGGCTGATCAGCGGCGCGAGCAGGAAGCACCGGCGGGAGTGATTAACGCCGACTTCCTGTCAGCAAACGCTGCCCAAACAGGCCGATGTTCGCGCAAACTCTACCGTCTCTGTCCTCGCTCTGCTGCGCGCGGGTCCTCCTCTTCTTCTTCCTCTCCTTCTTCCTCTTCGGCTCCCAGCACAGGAACATCTGCTCAGGCCGGGATCCCGCCTGGAAACGTGTCTTTGTCCTGCCCCGTGTAAAACATCCCAAAATACAGGCAGCCAGGCCGGAGCGGCTCACATTTCACTGCGGTCAACTCTGCGCACATCTGGAGCACGGCCGGGCCTCAATACTGCTGCGACTGCCACTCAGACAGCCAGAGCCCAATTAACTGGGAGGAGTGAGGAAGAGGGGCCCAGGGAGAGATTCAGTATCTCCCGGTTCATCTGTTTACTTCAGCTGGAGGAGGGACAGACAGGAGGAGGAGGGGATAAAGGAGGACCGAAGGATGAAGTTAAGGACGGAGGAAAGAGGAACTGAGACCACAGCAGGGAGTAAATTAAAGGAAGAAGATGAAGGGGAAAGCAAAACAAAACATGGAAGAAGTTATCAAAGGGAAGAAATCACAAAGAGCAAAGAAGGGAGGAATAAAGGAATGAGGGAGAAGAAACAAGGATGGATGGAAGGACAAAACAAAATTTAAAAAAAGAGGAATGCAGGGAAAAGTACCAGATAAAGAAAAAGACAACATTAACTGAAAGGAACAAGCAGGGAAGGAAAGATTTGTAAAGAAACAAGGAGAGGAGGTAGGATGAGTTCAAGGAAGGCAGAAACGAATTGAAAGGAAAGGAAGGAAGGACAAATTTAAAAGAAAGAATGAAATGGAATAACAGACAGACGTGAGGAGGGGGGGCTATGAAGTGAAGGAAACAAAGATGTGAGACAAAATGTATGGGCAAGGACAGAAATGAGTCAAAAAGAAGGAAGGAAAGAAAAGGAAGCAGTTAAGCCACAAATGATGGGATGCAAGTAAAAAGGGAAAGAGGAAGGATTGAAGAAAGGAGAAAAAAGGGATTAAAGGAGGAAAGAGATGAGAAAGGACATGTGGGGGAAATCCAAACTAAGTTAAAGAAGGAAATAAGGAAGGTCACGAGGAAATGGAAGAAAATGAATGATAAGTAGAAAAGGAATAAGAACGTGGAGTATGAAGGCATTAAACCCCACGAAAGAAAGGAAAGAGGGACAAGAGGAAAACTGTAAGGGTGGATGGAGGTACAAAAAATGGAGAAAATAAATAAAACCTGAATGATGATAAAAGGTAATGAAGGAGAAGGAAACAATAAAGGAAACAGCACACACACTGAATCTGTGGGAGGAACAAAAAGTGAAGAAATAACTGACAAAGAAGGAATGAAGGAAAGGTGGAGTGGGTGGGAGGGTGGGAGGGTGGGAGGAGATAAGAGCGGGCAGGAAGGAGGCTGAATGTTTGCTGTAATCATCCCCAATTTAAACAAACAGCCTCTACAGGTCGAGATACTCGAGTACTCGCCCCCCCTCTCCCTGTCACATGCCTGAGTTTGTAATGCTGAGCGTTTGCTCACGCTGAGCCCAACGCTCAGGCTGCTCAACACTCAGTTTATCACAGTTTGTTCCCCTCGTGGGTCTGTATGATGTCATAGAGAGGGGATGTCCATATCTGGCCTCGCTGATGGGAAACCCCACCTGAAGCATGCAGCAGCTTTTGTAAAAAAAAACCCAGGAACAAACCTGCTTTGAGTGTATTGGCTCAGGGGGAGGAGCTAACAGCGTCCCTCTTTAGGCAGTGGGTGAACAGTGGTGGTGATGACACCGAGGCCCAGAATAAGAGAAGGGGATTATTAAGAACTGGGGTTGGTGCAAAGCCACTCTAGCAGAGAGCTGAAATAAGCAGGTCTTGCATTTCCGATGGGATGCTTGCAGTGGGTTCCACCCTGAACGCAACCCTGTCCACCTGCAGGGGGCGTGGCTCAAAGCAGTGAAGCATTTGTTTTTATCACTTTCTCTTGATTCTCATTTAAATTATTTTTTTGGAAGAACACATAAAATCATTCACTGTCATGTTTGAGCATCTTCGTCTCCTAGCAACAGACTCCTGTCTGAATCTTTTTGGATGTAAACAATCAACTTCACACTAAACCTCTGACAGTACGTTTATTATTGGCTCGCTGTTATTACTGGGTTTGATCGCTGAGGCTTCCTCCTGCATCATGGACGAGTCTGCGTTGGAGCGATACTTCGATGAGTTCATTGCTAACGTGAGTTTTCATTTTTTCAGCTACTGGTTTAAAAATCAAACCGGTAAACTGCCGCATTTCAGACCTGAAAATCAAACGTGGAGAAAATTTCAACTCTGGTCCACTCGTCTTCACAGAAGTGATTGAATCCAGACACAAGCCCGTTAAGGTCACGCCAAAGTGTATCTTTAGATGATGATGTGCTGCAGTCGTCACAGACTATATACTGAAACTAGCCAGCTAACCTGCTAACTACTAACAGCTGGGTGTTAAACTTTAACCTGACACCACGGTGAACAGTGACCAGTTGTTTCGCTGGAGAGGAATTCAGACCATTTTTGAGTTGGACTGATTTCAGGATGTGAAGGTTGGACCTGGAGTTATCGACACTGAGCTTGTTCATTTCTGGACACCACACAGAGCAGAAACATGTAGCACCACGTTAGCACATAGGCAGATTCTCTTCTTGCTGCAGAACCCCAGGAGGACAGAGGATGTCAGCGAGGAGGTCGGCGAGGAGGAGCTGTTTTTCAAGTTATTGCCTGATGAGCTCCTGACACTGAACACGGTCACCTGTGACGATGCAGGTACGACAACAGAGCCGACAACACTCTGCACACAGTGCGATCATGACTGGGTGGAGCGCTGAGCAGTGACCGAGCTGCATCCATATACTGTTAATCCATAACTGCTAATTAGCACTTAGTAACAGTTGGTTTTGGAGCCTCGAGTGGACGTCAGAGGAACTGCAGTTTGTGGTACTTTCAGCTCTGCTGCTCTTGTTCGTGCCTCAGACAGGATCTGTAAGAAGGAGGATCGGACTGCAGAGAGCGGGATCGCCGGCACGCAGTCACGAGACAGCAGCTCCCAGAATTCCTCAGCAGAAGCTAAGCCCACGTGTGCGTCCTCCTCGTCTGAACTGAAGGCCCTTCCTGTTAAACCCGGGACCCCGGAGGACCCTGAGACACTGAAGGAGAAGTCGTCGAATCTCGCCCCAGTGATATGGTATCACCGCAGAGATCACAGTCTGCTTCTGTCCAATGACGGCTCCGCTGCTTGAACACGCAGCTGTGACTCTTGTGTTTTTATGTGTTTGCGTGCAGTAACGTCATCTCCACAGTGGACCTGGGCTGCTGTTTGGACCTGAAGTTCATTGCTCGCAGGATGTGGAACGTGCAGTACAAACCACAGGTGCAGAGACCTGAACGCGTGATCTACGTGAAGACATAATAAGCCCGGCACTGGTTTTCATTCTTGCTGTTTTTCAGTATTTCACAGGGATCATCGCTAGGATCCGGGAGCCAAAAGCAACAGCGACCATCTTCCGAACTGGGAAAATCATCTGCCTGGGAACCAAGAGGTTTGTCTGGATTCACATCTCCTCAGACTATGGTGCAGCATGGTGGGTTTCCAACCATCTCCTTGCTTCCTCTTTCTTTTAATAAGTGTGGAGGAGTCGCGCCTGGCAGCCAGGAAGTTTGTCCGCAAACTGCAGAAGTTTGGCTTTCCCGTGCACTTCCTCAACTTTAAGATCCAGAACATTGTAGCCTACTGCCAGACCTTTCCAGTGGATTTAGCAGAACTGCAGAAGGTCCACAAAGGGCAGTGCAGGTCAGGAGATAAGGACTCTGAGTAGAGGCTAGACCCAAACAGGGATGCAGGTTTGAAGCCCAACTTTGAGCACATCACGTGTCAGTCAACGCTACTGTGTGCTAGAGCAGGGGTGTCAAACTCAAATACACAGTGGGCCAAAATTCAAATCTGGAACAAAGTCGCGGGCTAACATTAATATTTATTTTTTTAAAAATCTTCCTCCAGATATAAGAATGAATCTTTTCTTATGGACTCGAACACGTTTTGCTGAAAAACTGAATGTGGAACAAGCAAAGCTTAATACTAAACAATATATATATTAGCTGTATAATACCAGTAGGCCAGCTCTGATAGTCATTTGGTATGGCTTCGCGGGCCAAATGTAATTAGGCTGCGGGCCAGAGTTTGACACCTATGTGCTAGATGATCTGAGACAGATGCTGACTGATGGCACTTGCTTTCAAATTTTGTTGAATATGAATCCCATTTTCTTCGGTCCCCGTGACGATGCTTTAAAGAACTTTAAAGTGGTTCAACACATGATGTGAAATGTGCAATCACGGATACTTTGAAGCACTTGTGAAGAAAAGATGTAGACAGCATGCAGTGCTGGGGAGTAACGGAGCACATGTACCAGCGTTACGTATTCAAAATACAAAATATGAGTAACTGTATTCTGTTACACCCAAATGGAAAAGACATATATAAATCTTATAAAATTTGTATCTGTCTTGTGTGAAACTTGTATGAAAAGCATATAAGAGTGAAAACAGATATAAGATCCCTTGAAAAATTATATAATGAAACTTGTATGTTTTGGATACTTCCTAAAACAATGTATGAAAGTAATCAGAAAGTGGCCACGTTCATGAGTAATCACATATAAGTTTTTACTATTTCTTTTCCATATGGGCAGTTACTGTTTAAAAAGGTGGTATTCAGTTACTTTGTTGAAATAACTGGATTACACTCGGTCTTTTTCTTTGGTGGTAATTCCACGCCGGTGGAAACCCAAACAAAACGCGCATTAAGAGGCTCTAATGCCCGAGTCTCAATCTCACGCCCCACGTCACCCCTACTTGCAGCCGCATAATGACGTGAAGAAATATTTTTTAAAATTATTGTTCCAAAAATGATTTAACCTCCTGAGACCTGAACTCTTTCATGGCATGCAGTTTTCTTTGCTATTTGGGTTGATTGGGACCTAAAGAATGTAAAAACAAAGAATTACCAGATTTTCTTTTTCCTAATTTTTGTTTTTGAGAAAAATGAGATCCACATATGAGGACATTTGTTTCAAATTTTGATAGAACAGCGGCAGCATAATGTCCTCGTAAGTGGATATCAGGCCCTTGTAGAGAAAAATGTGATGTCCACACATGTGGACGCCAGGTCCTAGGAGGTCAATATGAAGGCAATAGGCAGAGTGTTACAGGCATAAAGCATGCAGCCTCATGGGCAGTGTGGCCCAGCTGTGAGTAAGCTGTTAAGACTCGACTACGCTGTGTTCGTGTTTTCCTCTGAAACAATAAGTTCTGTTGCAGCAGCCTTTCAACGCCTCTCTCTGTCTCTGCTAGCAAAGTCGACCCAGACAACAAAGTAAAGCTAGTTTTCAGCTACGAGCCCGACACGAACCCGACGTATTAGCCAGACGTCCCTTTACTACGGCTCGGAGCCGCGGGCCTGTTTTATATACACGCGAATAGTTTTCTACACGAGATCACTGCAAAAAGTGCAGCTTTACCTAATGTCCACCTACTGTTACTCATTATATGAAGATTTAAACATCTAGCTGGTGTAGGTGTGGAGAGTAACCTTCAGTAATAGTAATAAATCACATTAATGTAGTTGTAAAAAGCTTGATAATATATTAAGTAATCCAAAGTATTCAGAATACGTTACTCACATTCAGTAACGCAATGGAATACGTTACAAAATACATTTTGGGGCATGTAATCTGTAATCTGTGGTGGAATACATTTTAAAAGTAACCTTCCCAACACTGACAGCATGGTCAGTAAATTAGAATTAATGCCATTTTTTGCAGACACCGTAGTGGGAAGGTTCCCAGAATCATCCCGGGCACAGTTCAGTCAGACTGGATAGTAAACGCTTCTAAACTGGCCAGCTCCCACTGAGCTCTGGAGTCGTTTTTCTCCAATATTTCTCTCCCAGTGTGTCTGCAGCAGCCTGTGTTTCGTTGCATGCTACGTAGGAGATCGCTAAACTGTGGAGTGTGTCCTGAAATGATTGTGGAAGGTTTTAGTTTCTACGTCGTGGAAACTGTGAGGTTTTAGTCTGTGTTCTTCTTTCTACAGTTATGAGCCAGAGTTGCATAACCGCCTCATCCTCAACCCGATTACCGGCATCAGAGTGTCCTTCATTTCGGCTGGGTGCATAAATGTGTGCGGTGAGCTTGTCCACACGTCACAATTCAATTAAAAATGCTGCCCTGTGGTGAAAACTGACTGAAAAACTGACCTTTGACTTTTGTGGACGTCATCATGAGTGTGTGTCCATGAAATATCCTGTGTTACACTCCAGGAGCTAAAACCAGGGCTGAGGTCGATGCAATCTTTCAAACCATCTGCAGAATCCTGAGAGAGTACAGGTGGGAGCGAACATGCAGCGGAGCTTTGATTTCAAAGCCAAACTGATGTTAGAGGCAGACATGAATAAACTGACGCATGAGCGCCACTGCACTCCACTGTAGTTCCTGATTGCACCACTAGATGTCAGCACGGCTGCAGGCCGCTCTCAGTCAGTGGTTTAGAGACGTGCAGCTCTCGCCGTGTACCTCGTGTGTGTTTGCATTACTCACTCACAGGTGAGGTCAGGATCACCTGAGAATGAGCAGGAGGCCTCTGGGTGGACGTGACCTGCTGCTCGTCCATCAGAACGGCCAAAACAAGAGTGAATAACACGTCACTGCATCCTGATATCCTCTTAAACAGGTTCGTTATTTACAACCTGCCCTTCATTACATCACTCAACATTCAGTCGGCATGGAGCTCAGATTGGACGGTTTGGGGGTTTGGTCGAGTTTCCGTCATAGTGCATGCTGGGAAGTCTACTGGGATCGGCCTCGTTACCTGACGTTTTACTTTGGTGGGCGTGGCTGTGAGCCTCACCTTTCCTGAGGTGGCAGGAGGTCAGATTCACGATGAGTCATGAAAACGCGTCGTTTGGTGTGTTCTCTGTGACCCGCTGACCGCGGGGATGGAGGCCCTTCCTGTCGTGTCTCCAGGGCTGCATCAGGAGGTGAGGTCATCCGGCCGCTGACACGCCCAGTCTGCATGAAAGCAGTGAATTATGGGAACACTTTCTCTCCTCTAAGCCTCTACGTGCTCTTCCTCCACTCACCGTCTGAGGCTCTCAGTCAGTTTCATCTTTTTTTGAGTTTCACATTTTGAAATTTCTTTTTCAGGTTTTTTGGAACAGCGACTGCTCATCGTGTGCTCGTGACCTCCTCGCCTCTTTGTATTTGATCTGCTCGAGCTGTTCGCATCCTGTCACTCTTGCTCCATTTGGCTCATGTCTTTCCCTCTCTAATAACATCCTCGACTTCCTCTGATCCTAATAATACCAAACAACAATCGTCCTGACACTCACACTTCCTGAACTCCCCACTCTCTCTCTTTCTTCTTCGACATCGATGCTCCGTGTTTGCTTCTCTGGTGGAAACGAGCTGAAAGTCATGTTTGAAAGTGTGAAAGTTTTTTTCTGTCCTTGTTTCCATTCTGTGTCCAAACAGGTTATTATGTAACAATTCTGTTAACATGGAAAACAAAATAAAGTCATAGAGGAAATATGCTCAGTTTGGGTATTTTTAAATTTATTATCACAAACTGCCTGATGAGCTTATTCAGCGTCGCTGCTTTTTAAAAGTTTTGTTTATATATTATATTGCCTCTGACATTTACCACAAGCTCAAACTAGAAATCCCACTCGGGAGACTGAAACTAAAGGGAATGTTTAAAAACATTTGAAATGAATGAAAATAAAAATAAGAAAACAAACAGTAATAAAGCTTGTCTGAACAGAACAAACTGTCTGTTTTCTCCACAAAATCCAAATGTCTAAAAAACAGAAACATTTTTTGAATGAATCCACGTTTCTGAACTGAGCCGGCAGCAGGAGGAGGTCGGGGTCGATGGAGGACATAAAAAGACCTTCAGTGACGGCGTTTCATGTTTTTCTGAGTTCTGCAGCTGTAAAGTCTGACAGTTAAATTCAACCCAACAATCATATGACCCCCTATGAGCAGCACTTTGGTGACAGTGGGAAGAAAAAACTCCCTTTTAACAGGAAGAAACCTCCGGCAGAACCAGGCTCAGGGAGGGGCGGGGCCATCTGCTGTGATTGGTTGGGGCGAGAGAAGGAAGACAGGATAAAGGCATGCTGTGGAAGAGAGACAGAGGTTAATAACAGATATGATTCAATGCAGAGAGGTCTGTTAACACAGTGAGTGAAGAAGAAACACCCAGTGCATCATGGGAATCCCCGGCAGCCTATGTCTATTGCAGCATCACTAAGGGAGGATTCAGGGTCACCTGGTCCAGCCCTAACTATATGCTTTAGCAAAAAGGAAAGTTTGAAGCCTGATCTTACTGTCCTGATGAGCGCTGAAGGGAAAGTTCATTTAGATAAAGCTTCCAGATCTCTGCCCAAACAAGAGCCTGGAGGCCGTCTGACCACGAGCTGCAGATATCAGAATCATCATCTCCTATTGACTGAAACAGGCTGTTTGAGCTCCTGTCTCTTTACCCTCCTCCAAACACACTTTGTTCTGATTGGCCATCTTCTGGACGCCTGCTGATGGAGAAAGTTATCTGAGAGGTTATGTGACTGTCAGGTGACAGCAGGACATCAGGCTGGACCAAACGCAGGTAAGAAGGAGCTCACCACACAGTGAGCATTTAAACTGAGTCCAACAAGTACTTTTTGAAGTTTTCTCCAGTGAATTATCAGAAAACCTGTGGATGCCATTAAGTTCCTGCTCCTCAGTGCTTTGAGTTCAGTGGTTAGCGTTAGCTTCTGGTTTACTTCTGCACACCTGCATGTGCAAAATGCCTTCATGGAAAATTCAGACTCCACAAGTTTTTTCTTCGTCCTGTTTCCAGGCTTCAGCAGTTTGGCCGGCCTCGCGGGGCCGCTGCTGTGACTGCACACTTTTAGTCAAAGGGTTTTTTTTAGCAACTGGGAGCTGTGAAGGTCCAAAAATGCAAAGTCAACTTTTCCACTTTGTTGTGAGCCAAACAACATCAGCATGTAGGATTACAAAGCACACCTGTATTCACAGGAAGGAAAGCACGAACTCGGAGCTGTGAGCTCCAATAGCTGCTAACTCACCACTTTACATGCACGGCCTGCAGCCATCTGTTGTACAGAGGAAGCACGGGAGGACGTCTCCAGAGACTCGGATCCAAAGCAAATAGCTCACATCATCCCTGACCCAGAAACGGATCTGGGAAGGAAGTGATTTAGCACTTGGGCGCCGTGCCTGGATGAGTGTCCCAAAGGTCAGGAAGAAAAATCAATCAACCTCCGAGGCTTCATTAGACACTTCATTTCGCCCCGATTGCTTTATCTGAGCAGGAAACGAGAACTTAAATCACTTCCACACGAGCTGAAGCTGAGACTTTAAGTCGTCTTCTCGTCCACAGGTCATAAAACTGATCTAGAAGCAGGAAAGTGCCTGTGTCAGATTTACGAAGCAGTTTACTGTAAAAATCTGTCATGGTGAAGTTTCACAGGCAGGCAAAAGCCTCATCTCCACTCCCGTCTTTACCCGTGAATCAGCACAAATGCTGAACCCAAACTGCACATGTGGGAGTCTGAGATGCTGTGAAATGACCCACATCAGGCAGGGTTCTCCTCTCTTGGTCTCAAGGCCCCCCTGTTCCGATTCAAAGGGCTCATCGGGGGGCTGAGGCCCTGCTGTGACCCCTCATCAGCAAACGCCTTTGCAAAAGTCTTTCAAGGGCTGAAAATAAGGCCAGATGTTCCCAGCTGCTCTCAGCAGGTCACAGACTGAAGTCGCTGCCGTCTCAGAGGAGAAGCTGACATTCCTGCAAATAAAAATAAGGAGCTGCTTTTTGTCTGAACTGTAGCATCACATGAAAGCCGAACAGGCCACACGTGTCCACACTCAGACATCCGTCCTGCTGCAGCAATCCTAAAAAAGCTGTTCTCTCCTCCTCTCCTGGTTGGAGACAAACTTTATCCTGCAGTCAGCAGAACGCAGCAGACTCAAGTGCATCTGAACTTTCCCTTTCTCCTAATGTGGGCTGCACCTGCATCTCATGAGCTTGCTGTTCCAGATGTTGACCTGCAGACTTCCATGAGGTCAGAACCACAACCACCTGCTGACAGCCAATCACGTAACCCGCTAACTAACTTGGAAAATAAATAAACCTGCACAGGTGCGGTCTGTCGCTCCCTCAGTGTGTCTGAAAACGCACAACAGCAAAGCAGTGCCAAAAACTCTCAGACCTGTACATGGATAACCAAACATATGATTTCTTACTGCCTCACAGAGCTCTGATGTGGGAATTCGACTTTATTTCAATTTATGCTTTATTTTAAGGAAAATTCCAGTTTCCTTTAAAACACGTTATTAACATAATTTAGGTTTCGTCTTGCAGCGAATGAGCTGAACATGAAGTAAAACGGTGCACACGTCAGAATCATCATCATCAATCTCACATTTTTAATAAATAATCAAGTATGTAGAAGTATTATTAGTGCAGCTGTGGCATAAAGCTTGCAGGAGGCAGTCTCATCCATTTGTTAAGCACTGTGAAAAAATAAATTATTGCTGTATTAAAAATGTTGTTGAATATGAAGATACCATCTTGTAAATAAGATGCAATCAGTGTGAAACTAGCACTGAATGAAACATCCACAGCTCGCTGCACCCATGTTAGGTCGTTATCTTTGCTTTGCGCCACGATGATGATTCACCCACATTAGCATTTAGGATTATGTGACATACGGAAGAAATATGGCGTGCAAGCAAGTCGCATTCCTTTAGTTAATAAGTTGAATACGTGACTGAGTTTGAGCCTTTCAGGCCCTGTGGTCATGTCCGGACGAGCGTGGACGTGAGTCTGTTCAGACGGTAAACAAAGTTCAGCTGATTGGTCCCAGATGTTAACACGAGTTTGCAGCTGCAGCACGGAGGCTCCCGCGCTCGCTGCCGATGTGGAGGAGCTTTAACTCCGGGGCGGAGGTCCTCTGGAGGAGTCTGCAGTCCCATTAAGTAATGGTAACCATCAGGTTTTTTCATCATGCGTGCATTATTTTTCACTTTAGGTGAGTATTGTATTTATTAGTCACACTTTCCAACTGCCTCTTCAGACCTGGAAGCTACGTCTTAACCCTCGTTTGATCCTGGCAGTGCCGTTTCACATGACACGTTTGGGGCTCATCTGTAGCTGGACAAACGTGACCAGGCTCTGCACAGGTGTGTTTCAGTCACAGGTGTAAGAAGGTGACGCCTTTTTAGAGTCAAACAAGTCAGAGCAAAGAAAACCAGCAGCCTTTTCAGATTCCAGATGTTAGCCTGTGTTTTAAAGACAAATGTGGGAGTAGCTGTGGTGTCAATGCTGCAGAGCTGACAGACAGGAGAGCAGCTGAAGGAAGGAAAGAGTTAAACCTCTGCTTCCTCCTCGGGTAGGAGGTGGTATGGAGGGGTGGGTGTGGCGGCGGTGGTGGGGGACCTCTTCTTCTATTGATAGCCACGTTCCCCCCGTTTATTCCTGCAGTGAGGACGATGCAGAGCAGCGAGCCAGAGGAGGCTCCACGCCGAGGAGACCCCGACCTGCTCAGACTCAAACCGGCGCTCTGAGGGATGGACGGCTGCTCGCTGACACAGTAAGTGCTCCCAGCTTTCCCGTCTCCACACAATCACAGCAACAGCCGGGACTGTTTAGTCACGCAGGCTGCTGGAATGTCGGGAAAGTCCTGATTTCAGGGAGGAACGTTAAAGCCTCGTCCTCTCTCTGTGGAAGTCAGGCTGCAGGAACGACTGTCTGCATTTTTAAAGCTGCTTCTTCTGGGATTTTATTTTTCTTGAAGCAGATTTCATTTCACACTGTGTGCTGTTGTATCAATAATAATGTTATTTCTGCAGCGCAGCAGCTTTCAAACACAGTCACAGACGGTCTGTGTGTTGCAGCTCCAGCAGTGAGTCAGTCCCCACAGACTCACACGTTCATTTCCCCTTCATCACACCTGTACGGGGGAGGAGAGGCGACTGTAACGCACCTGTGTAAAGGTTTGACAGGTGGGAGGTGACAGCTTCAGGCTCATGTAGTCTCAGGCAGTGTCTTTACCTTACAGTAACGAGCACCTCCAGGCGACCGTTGTTGTGAGCTGCTCCATACAAACCAAACTGACCTCTGCATGTGACATTACCTGACCAATAACCTGGCTGCTGTGAGGTCACTGCACACAAACAGAGAAGCAGACGGTCACAGCTTCAGCTCTTTCAGGTTTGCGGCATTCGATCGTGCGCAGCGGTCTGAGCTCTGCACTCTGATTGGACCGCTGCAGAGGGCCGAATCTGCTGTGACTCCTGGAAAGGTTGCGTTAACACACCTGAACCATTCAGACCAGCAAACCACCAAAACGTCTACTTCTGTAGAGACGCTCTCACCCACGAGGATCAATCAGTTAATCATCATTAGCAGCTCTCGTGGCTACTTACCCTCTAAGTGCTGGTGAGGACGGCCTTCTTTCACACACTCGGTGTTGTTGTTCTATATCAGAACATTTTTAAGATGATTTTTTTGTCATGTCCTCTCACGCCCTTTCCAATCAAAAATGATTCAGTTAGAGATCTTTTATCTCTGATCCAGTATTTCCACATATTTCTGCAGTGATTTGGTGTGAGCTGTTCGGTGTGGCAGCCGTAGAGATGTCTGCTTCTCTGGACTATGGCAGGTCTGAATGACACCGCTCTGCTCAGAGCATCTCCCACAGTCACTCCAACGCGTCTTAATGAAAACGAGCTGAGCTGCAGCAGAAAAAGTCGTTGATTAGGAGTGAAAATAATGAGGTTACAGCGGGGCCGGGCCCTCGTTACGCCTCGCATCATTTCCTGTGATCTTTCACTTTCAGGCCACTCTCAGGCTGCCCTCCCTCTGCCTCACGTTAAGGCTTCGTTTACAGCAGAGGCTCTCGCTTCCGCTCGGAGAGACAGATGTCGCCACAAAGTGTGCCAGCGCCTCAACGAGCCGCTGACGCGTTGTAACATTTAATCTGTGAAAGTCGTTAGTTTGGCCTCGTTTCCACTCGAGCTCTGACCCAGCGACCCGCGTGATACCAACCTGGTGCTGCACACATGGTCAGAGGCTGAAGTCAGGTGACCGTGAAGGGAAGGAGGCGTTGATGTGTAGCAGCTGTTTATCTTCTTGGCTGATGGTTTTAAACCAGCTGTGGAATAAAACAAAGTGTAACAATATCAGACGTAAACGATGCTTTAATGTCTTTGATGTAACCAAAAACTTATTTCTGACTTCACAGCTAGCTGTTCTCTGATTGGCTGATCCCTGACACCTGCATCAAGATGGCTCACCTGTTCCTCGCCAGCAAGATCACAATGCCCGATGACCTCCACAGCAAAGGCGGCGGTGGCAGGGTCCCCCGGAGCGCCATGAAGGTGCCGCCGTCCATCTCCGCCGAGAAGCTGAGCCGGGACAAGCCCAGGAAGGATCGTAGAGTCGTCGTGACAACGCACGTCCCGCATGTCAATGAAGTCCAGCTTACAGCGGCGACGGGCGGCGCCGAGATGTCCTGCTACCGCTGCACCATCCCGTTCGGCGTGGTGGTCCTCATCGCTGGCATTGTGGTGACGGCGGTGGCCTACACCTTCAACTCCCACGGGTCCACCATCACGGTGCTGGGACTGGTGCTGCTGTCTGTTGGGCTGGGGCTGCTGGGCGCCAGCGCCATCTGCTGGAAGGTCCGACAGAAGAAGAAAAAGGACAAGCGACGGGAGAGCCAGACCGCCCTCATGGCGAGCCACGGGTACTGCGTGGTCTGAGCTCAGACCTCTGAAGTGAATAACAACACAAACTAACAGGATTTGAGACGCTTTACAAACTGCAGAGACCTCGCTGTGCTGTTTCCTCCTGCAGCTGACGCGAGGACAGCCGCAGATGTTAACGACGAGCAGGGCGAAGGACGCGTCTCGGACAAAACATTACTAATGGAGACGCCTTCATCAGCTGGAGGTGTTGGATGAGGAAAAGCTTGCTTTAGTGCTGACACAAAGAGATAAATAACACGTCATTAATTTTACAAATATGCTGATAAACCAATTTTTCAAGCAGAAATTCAGAATATTTTCAGGTCCCAGCTCCTCAAATCTGCCCGATTTCTCTGATTTATCTGTCGTCGAGGTTCTGGAGTACAAACATGTGAACCTCCAAACACCCACCCTGCACTGGGGGCCCATTAGAGGAGCCCTGAGCCCAGACAGGCGACCCGGTGGGTGTTCAGAGGTCTGGGTAACAAAATCAAAGGCCCTCAGGTTTATTGTTGGAGCAGGTAAATGGATTCGATCTAATTATTGCCAAAACATCAATTTTCTCAAAGACATAACTTAGCACGTTTGTAGTTTCCACACAGGACACGTTAGGATTACGGCTGATGCTTTTATTCTGAAAGTACCTGCAGCTGTTTTAGTGACATGAACCTTTAAGTGTTTGGCTTCAAAAAAATAAGGTTTTGGATAATATGAGTGTTTAGTTGACAACTTCTTAAAACTCATTTATGATGCACAGTATCTAACTAAAGCTGCTAATAAGCTATAAAAGACATTTAAAGGTACTCTAACGTATACGTTTCTCTGAGTTTGTAGCTCTCGTCGGTCTAATTTGTGGCCTCTGACGTTTCCCCGGGATACACAGAGCATTCCTTCGGGACATGTCATCATGGTTTGATGTTTCTGGGTGAGACTGTGTTTCCCTCTGATGTTGGGTTCAGACTACAGGGAGCGTCGGATTAGATGGTTTTGCGTCACATTGGGTCATTAACATGTCACGAACATAAACATGACAATCATCGCTGCTCGCTGTGTTTCACAACCTGATAAAAGTCTCTGCACACGAGGACCGAGGGACCAACACAAATGTAATCATGTGCCGTGGCGTGCGCGGCAGAGCTCTCAGACCGCCGAGGACGACTTATCTGTGTTTCCGTCTGAATCTGAAAACCCGTTAAAAACCCACGAGGCGACTCAGGGCGGAGTCTTAACGAGATTAATGAATGACGTGAGCAGATCGCTATCCCAAACTCAACGGACTCCATGATGTTCTCCCTACAAACAACGTGAAGAAAAACGACCTCCTCGCCAATTTATCCCGTAAGACGTTTATGTCAGATTTTGCTGTAATTGGAATTCTTGAGTTATGGTCGTAATGGCGAGTTGGACCTTTATCGCTAAATTAAGTGCTAACAATTCCCATCCAATCCTGCGATATCACGTTCATAATAATGAAACGCATGCACTACCTGGAAGAATCCGCCTCCAGGCTTCACCTGTCCCCGCCTTAATTGTTTTACATTAGTGGCGCCTTCTTGGAGGTGAAACTTGGTGGAGTTCCTTCTGTGGAGGTGGAGGAGACGAGATCCTCAGAGAAAGAGCTCCGCCTGGCTCGTCCGAGTGTTTCCCACTTCATCCATACTGTGGGATCATTGTGTGTGTCATAAACCATCAGATCTTCCATCTGATGACGTTCGTCAGCGCTTCGCGTCTCTGCGTTGGGGCCGACATCGCTCTATCGTGGAGTCTGAACCCAACACGGTGACGTAACTGAGCGACGTGCAGTGCTGAGGTCACAAATAGACCGATTCCTGACATGCATGCTACTCTGTGTGTTTAGTGCACTATGATGCAGATGTATCCACTGTATTAAAGCTGTTTAGCTCCTATTTATTCTGTTGGTGGACATGTTCGTGTAAAATATTTGTTCTATTAAAGTCAGCCAAACCACACCACTGCTCTTGCATTCACTCACCGAGGATCTGCTTTGCAGAGCAGGTTTGAGACACGCTGCGGGGCTAAATTTAGCCATGTTTATGTTGCCTAGCATCCCAAAGACACACAGCCAGTTAATAAAGTGAGGAAGGGCTGGGCGGGGGAGTCAGGGTTGCATCATCTGGACCAGAGCTGGTGGTGGCGGTGATGACGGGTAGCGGTTACAACACGTTGTCACTTGTGCAGTGCTAACTTTATCTCTGCTGGAGTGCAGCATCCTGGGAATGTGGGTGGACTGGGGGGAGGGACTGGAAAGAGAGATGAGGGGGTGCAGAGTGGATCATCGGTCTCATTCTTGAGGACACTTTGGAGGAGGTGCAGCGCCTCCTGAGCCTGACGGAAGGTGAAAATAGAAGCGATCTCAGAAGACGTGGACACGTTTAACCCCCCAGCAGCACATCAGCACCTTCCAATGATCACACGTCACTTTCACAAACATGGCCGACAGTTTACCACAGAGGTCGTTACAGCGCCTAAAACCTGCGACCTGCCGTCCTGAAAACACATCAGCTGAGACACACAGCTGGTAAAACTCACGTAAAGCATGCTATTCAAACGGCGTCAGCTGGCCGACAGCTTAACTGCATCTGCAAGCTGCTTTGCAACCCAGCTCCTGATTTAACGTCGTGTCTGCTGCTTTGTTCAGTACTTTATCCTATGACACAGCGACTGGCACGACCAAAGTGACTGTCTAAGCTTGCAGTTTCACAGCCTTTGAAATGGTTGCCTTGAAGCCGGGACCAGGTTTGGTTCCTTTCCTCAAAGCTGCTTTGGTGCATCAGAACTGCGATAAGACGGAGCCAGTCTGTGATTGAATGGTGAAGCTGGTATAATCAGGCAATTAATGGCTAAATAACAATGAGATAGAAGAAGTTTTCTAACCAGAATAAAACCAGCTGAGTCGAGTCTCCTGTTGCAGACTGACTCAGATTGATTGCACCCTGTTGTCAGCGTTTATAAATTAGGCACTAATTATTACAAATCTGGGCCAGTCTGTCTGAGGACTACGAGTCGACTGATCGTTAGGAGACACGTCGCCTCACACCAGGCAAGCTTGTTGCATGCTCCTCTTCTCGGTGACCAGGTACAATCGTTTACTGAATCGGTTGAAATAAAAGCAACACATCTGCCAGGTTTTTCTGAGTAACTGAGGGACACGAGTGCAGCGCTTCCCACTCCATGCCTTTCACCTGTAAGTGATCAGCCACGCCTCCCTATTACTGCAGATGAACAGTCGTCTCTGTTGCAGAGTGATGACGTACTGATGGTGGCTCCGGTCCATTGTCTGTCGTCATCTTGGACCTCTGAAGCTGTTCATGTGCAGCATGAAGCGTTAAAGTCAGTTTTAAAAACTCGGTGTGACTACAGCCCACAGGCTCAAATATCTCACTAACCTCGTGCAGTGGACGGTCATCTCAGATGTTCTGTTTGTCTCTGACCATCAGTGGCCTCAACATGAAAGAAGCAGAGCAGGAATGATTCATAGTCCAGATTGAATAAGCAGATTTTGGCCCTGACTGAATCAGCAGCTTTTATTTGATATCTGCCAATCACACAACTGCTCAGTGTTTCAGGCCTTTAGACTCCCTGGAGTCTCGGGCAGAGCGGAGACATCACGTATCAAATAATCTGTTATCTAGTTCAGTTTAGTTTTATTTGCTTTTTGAATTATATCCAAATGAGGTGATTTCCCCCTTAAATAAACAAAGTGAGAAAGTGAAGATTACTCTGAGAGGGAACGTTAGAAATGAAGGATTCCTGTTTATGCTGAGTTGGATGCCTTCTCAGGCACAGTCTGCTGCGTCCTTCCTGCAGAGCTCTGGATGTTTACGTGCTTTCAGTTTGGTTTATTTGTCACAGAGACGATTAAATCATCCTCATCGGCCTCGCTGATGTCTGACCCTGATTCTGATTGTCAGAGCTTTGTGTCTCAGGCTGTGTGAGGACGGCTCAGAGGGGAAATGCCAATCCTTCCCTTCCCCTAACACAGTGACCAGCGGTGTAAGTCAGCGGCAGCGTGCCTGCTAAAAACACACCCCAGACTCCCGGCCGGAAAGGGCCTGGCACGCAAAGAGCCGGGAATCGGCACGGTTGAAAGGATCGGCCGGAGAACAGGAAGGAGTTTCTGCTCGAACACACCCTCTATCCAAACTTTGAACTAATTCCCAAAAAGGCGTGAGACTGCTCTGTCTTCAGAGGAGAGTCAAGGTCAGCCGAAGAGACCGAGTCAGGAACCATTGGGCCAGATCCTGCCGGCTGCAATGGATTTAAAGCTGTGGAAGAATCATAAAACCAGTGAAACTCTTTCTAATCTGTAAAGGCAAAACTTTTCTAGTCCTTGACCACCTTGACCAGGTGTCCTGATCACATGACCCAGCGCCGCACAGGCAGGGACGTAGGCTGACTGCTACATTTTAGGCAGCAGTGAATCAAATGTTTTAGAGATGTAAAAAAGTGTTGTGTGATAAAAGCTCAGACTCTGCCTGTCTCTGATGATGGTGTGCAGTAGGGGTGCAACGATACTCATATCGATATTGAACCGTTCGATACAGGGCTTTCGGTTCGGTACGCATATGTATCAAACAATACAAAAGTTTTAATTTATTTTATCAACTTTCCTTCTGACGATGCTGTCTGTGTTGAGCGCTCAGTGGATCTGTGCTCGACTACTCCACCTAGGCTGCACAAGCTAGCGAGACAGAAGCTAAGCTCGTTGCAACATGGCGAATTGA